ATTAAGTTAAGTTAAGTTTCAAACCAGTGTAAAACTTCTTTTAAAATATATCTGAGTATATCTGAGTAGTGCGTAGGGAATCGTTGTGGGTTAATCTATCCGAACTTCATAAAATAGCCGCCATTTCTCCGACAATCGCTAGATATTTGGACATTTTTTTCGAAGGCCAGCAAGGCTACTGACATAAAAAAATTGAAACTCACTTTACCGCATATAACATTGCAGGTTTCTTATGATAGAGGACTTACGAGAAGGTCAAAAATAACGTTAAAACCCATTTAGATTTCAAAATATTACCTCTGTTGACCATACTTTCACAGATATTTCCTACTTTAACAAACTGATATAAACCTGATACAAATTGGCATGTTTCCTGGACAAAATTGCAGATTCGACCCCATCAAGAGGCACATTATTGTATGAAATCCCGTCCAGAGTGGGACACTTGAAATTCCATGTACCGGTCGGGGCTGATGCCCTTGGAAATACAAAGGCCTCTAAACCGGAGGAGAGGGCCGGGATAAAGGAGCATCGCGACGTCAACTTTAATTTGATATTTCTCCAAGTTATAATCTGAGTCAATAGGACTTAAGCGTCGGGCGGAATAACAAACAGCGGACCGAGTGAAATCCCGCAAAAGTGCACGGGCGCCATTTTAAGGGTTGAATCAGGAGCTGTAAAGCCATCAGTTTGGGGTGAACGGTATTTGGGTGGGATTTCGAGAAGCGGTATTTTATTACGATCTCGCAATCCTAGTTAAGGGTATTAGATGACGCGTTGTTTTCCACTGAAATGCTAAGCACTTAAAATCATTCAGGTGGCAAAATGAAGAAGATTCTAGTTTGGGCTGCTTTTGATAACGTAGCAACTTTAGAATGCAAGTTAAAGCAGAATGTGTAAAAACTAGAAACATTCCTTAAATTATGTTCGGTACAAAAAAGTGAGCATTTTAACGCTCTATCGGGCGATGACGACTTGAGCGTTGCATTTCAACCGGTTCTTCAACTATAAAAAACACACGTAAAGAACGAACTTTCCATATATTGAAGAAAAAAACATTATACTTTAATAAAATATTACGGGAACATTCTTGTTGATCAACATAAGCAGAAATGAATAAAGAAAACGTTTTAAGTATTAAAAAAGTACAAGTAAAGAAACTAACCTTTTGGAATCACCACATCCTCGCCACAGACTTTTCACAATCACCAGTTGCTTTTTATGGAAAGAGGAGCCACCATTGAAGTCTGGAAGGCCTTCAGCTTCGCACAAGTGAACCTGAATTAACAATATAAAATCGGTCTCGATAACTATCTTTAACAGCAAACGTTTTATCAAGAGTTCAATTTGTCAATTGTTCAATCATTACATCAAACCTAAATTCAAAATTTAGTTGCAAAAGGACGGTTTAGAAATAGTAAAGACGGTTTCGAATGCAATCGAACCTAAATGAAATTTGGTCAAACATTATCTAGAATTTAAAGAATTCACAATCAAACTTGTTTACGAAAATTTGTTTTTATAGACTTGTTCTCACTCTTTTTTCAAAAACCCATTTAATTTCAACTCTTAAAGAAGCTGTTGGTTTAATTTCCATTTACAAGCTTGACGCGTGTTAATTTTAGAGTATTAAAGCTTTAGGTTTATTTTTGAATCGTCGCGTATTTGCATAAAACCGCACATTTCATTGCAAATAAAGACAAAATGAAAAATTCAAAGAATTATAAAGTTTTTGCCTCACTATCCAGCAGTTTTAAGAAAAAAATCTTTCTGTTTTCCATTAAGAACATTTTGTAACAAGCTTATGAGATCAATAAAAGCTCACAGTTTGTAATTTTTGATTAAATATGCACGATAACACTTGATGAGTAAACAGTAAACGCATCCTTATTTATTGCTGATATGAGAATTTCGATGTAAAACTGCCATAAAATGAAAGTTTCTAGACTAAGCCCAAGTTAAAACGAACAATAAGAAAACAAACCAATCACCTAAATCCATTTTCATAAAAAAACCTTCCGACTAGTTCATTCAATGCCATTTTAATTCGCGCAAAGCACAGACGTTTTGAGCCATTTAATAAAGTTCTTATAATCCGCGCGTTCTGTGCTGAGGAATAAACAAGAAATAAACTGAATAGCCGATCGAACGAACGTTTGGGGCGTGTTCCCTTAATCTGGCTGATAAACTCTTCCATGTTTATGATTGCATTACAAACACAAATTTATTCGGGTTGGGTCGTCGCAAATTGCATAAGAAATATTGTTGTGCATTTCCTGAATTTTAACTAGGTCGCAGTCTTTATTCCGTCTTTTTATCGATGCAACTCGATTCGTTTTCGTTGTGATTTTATTGCACTGTTCAGCGAAAGAAATATAAATATAATCACTTGCAAGCTTTATTATCATAACTATTTAGTGGAGAGAGGATTCAATTATATTTTCGCATCTGTTAAAACGGTCAAGGGTTGAATCGATCGAAATACACGCATCGGGTGGAAAATAGATTTTGGCAGAAAACGAAAATAAGAAACAATCTTAACTACATCCTTAAGTCAAAGGAAAATTGAATAAAAACAAGTTCTATTTCTAATTGAAAGAGATCTCGAAAGACATACATAATACATTTTTTGAGAACAATTTTAACTGTTCAACACTGTAATTATAAAATAGTGATTTCGGAAATATTTCCTAGATATTTGCTGTTTCTCAGTTGATGTATCTCCTTTTGCCATTTCGGAGCTGATAAAAGCACAAGGCCCAAAGAAAGCGAAATATCCACAAAAGAAATCGAGGTTGTTTCCTTATTTAACGTTCTGTTATTGGACGTTGTATCGAGACGAGCCCTCGGGGCCCAATAACTTTACAAAACTCTACCTTTTGCCATCTTGTCTTCAATATTGACTTATCCGGCAAATTTTCAGGCTAAAGAAACCGTTTTTTTGCCTACATCTTTTGAGGCAGAATATAACACATCAATGGGGAATTTTAAAAAAATTTGGATATAAATATGGAATAGTAATAGTCGGCAGAAAATAAATAAACAAAACCGATTAAATCAAGTGATAGATAGATAAGTTTGCGTATTAAAATTTCCAGCAAAAAGTCGACAAACATATCGTAGAACATTAATTACCATGCCAAAATCGCCTTCTCCTAATTTCTCCAGCAGTCTTAATCGATGCCTGGGGAAATCCAGCAGATGAGCTACTCCCTCCAAAGGGGGTCCCTCTGGAAGCTTTATGGGGGTAAACCGGCCTGGGGTAAAATGTTGCTCTCTGCGCTCGCCCTGCAATCAACCAACAATCCATATAAAAAACGCTTAATAAGCTAAATTCATTGCTTAAAATAAATCATAATTACAAATCGAATACACCTTTAAAAAGGGTGTTCACAATTGTGAACTATGATAGAAACTGACGCGTTCACCTTCGTAATAAAATTGATCGAACATCCAACTGAATAAACCTAAGTCCTAGGATGTATACCTAGACAGAAATATGAAATTTTTGATACAATTCCACAGTAACGGGGCAACATATTTCACGATAAGTGCCCCCTAAAAGCCCTTACCTAAAATTACTTTTCCAAATGGGTAAGAGAGAAAAACGACCAAACAAATAATCGGAATTTATAGCTTATGTTATAATTCCGCAAAGAACGACCAACATCCAGAATAAAAGTCCTTTCTCCGGCCTCACGAGATAATAGAAATTTTATTACGTCCTTACGTCATTTATCTTTTATCAAAATAATAGACAGTTTTTGCACGTTGGGCGCAAAAATTGGAATCAGAACCCACATAAAATACTTTCTATTTGCAAGAGATTTTTCCGCATTGCAACCTCATATGCATCTTATTTCAATCTCCTCAAATTCTTCTAGTTAGTTTCCTATAATTTTTCTAAATAAAGTTATTTTAGTGTGATAAGATTGCCAAAGTTTCTGGCCTCCTTTGCATAATTTAATAGAATATGATTGCGACATTTCCCAAAACTTTCACGCGTGTTCAAAGGTATGACTTTTCCCGAAATAAGACCCTGTCGTGTCGTTCGAAAAGTCACTAATAATTCTTGGAGACGAGTCTCTACTTGTTGCGTGCGTGTGTCTTCCTTGTCTTTCGTTCCTGCGGTCTCACGAGACTGTATATCAAGAACGAAGGGAATAAGGAAAGTTTAAACTTGCGGGCAACTGAAGCGTTCCAACTTTTAATATCACCAGAAAATGTTCGTTTTTTTTATTAGAAAATTTTCACTGCGGCCATTTATATTGTTTCGGCGTGAAATCGTTATTTAATTTCGTTGCGATATTATTTAAAACGTTACAAAACCTATACACGTAAACTATTTATCTCTTTCGACTGATAAATTAACGTACTGGTGGCTTTGGAAAAGTGCATTTTCCAGCTGCTACTGTTTGGTTCTGACAACCGGAATAGGATTTTAATGGAATTGTGGAAAAGTTTTTAATTTTATTTAGAATTTTCGACTATTTATTGTGAGGGCTCGAATTTGATCGAAATAGCGGAAATTCGCCTTTTGAGACAAAGTCTGTAACTAATTAATGCTTTTGGAAATTCAAATGATGTCTAATGACGATATATACTTATTTTAGCAAATAGTTCACAAGCGAATAGTAAGATGTTTGAGCACACTTAATGTATAGGGTGTGTTCAATAACACCTTTGCATGCTCGTGTTCACCATCAATCCCAATCGCAAACCATGTTCCAACAACCAAAAAACTTAATGGAAATTAAATTTCTAAATCTGCAAAGCTACAGATTTATAAACTGTGAAAAAACTGCGCTACTCATGTGCTTCGCTTGTTTTGCACATTTGTTGGCTATTTTTCAAGCCACCTTTTGTAGACAAAAATGCCGTTTTAATCTCTTGAGCCGCCAGCATCAGTGGGGGCCCGCTTGAGCGTCTAAGTCGTCCATTATTCCGTATAGACGCCAGCGACGCCACCTGAGCACTACGAGTAGTGGCTTTATTGAGAAACCTCCCAGGGATGCATCCAGGCATATTTTTATGGATTCGTACTATAGTGCTTACCGTCCGGAGACAACTTTGAGATTAATATTTTGGCCAACTTTTAATGTGTACACTGTTTAATTTGGTCCAGCCAACAATCTTAAAGCACCGAACTTCGACTCGGCAACGACCTGTCTTCTATATAATAAATTGATGCAATAAACAGAAGACATCGTTTCCGCAAAATATTTCATAATCGCCTCGAATTCACTGTGGGAATAATTGATTGTATTTCCATTATCCGGCTCGGGCCTTAATAACTGTAGTATTCCCAAATGCAATGCCCTTTACGGAAAACACGGTCCATACTCTGTCCTGGAGTTGAACACATCTGTGTCCTGGAGTTGAAACAGGAATCGCCTTAGAAAGCAACGGGTTTCTCAAATATGCCACTTAGTTCTCCCTATCGTGGGATGTTCACTTCCCCTAACTGACAAAAGGGGGAACACATATGGGTAGCGAAAAACGAATTGTTATGTTTGGATAATTGCAAGGAAAAGTTCGCTGTCTGCATAAAAAATATCGAAAAAATCCTCGTTAAAACCGAGTAATGGTTAACGAACTTTAGTGGATATAAGTTCCAGAGTTCCAGACTGAGGTTGAACAACGTTTTTGTTTAGTTGAGGAAACTGTTAGAGAAAAATGGTTTTAAACCAGATCTATATAGTTTCAACTAAAAGCGTTTTCTGTTCAGATTAAATATAAGCAATGTTCAGATAAAGCAAAAATAATGGTGTCATCTGCCCGTTTGTCACTAATTTATTGTTGGTTTTGTGCGTTTAAACATACTGCGGCTTCTGCACCTTTCTCTGATAACATGTTTCATGTAAATATATTTTAAAATTCACCGAACACAATATAAAACTTTGTGTCATTCGTTTCAACAACTTGATTTCCTCGGATTTCTCTCTGCATTTTCCCATTCTTGTTAGCCAGTTTGTCCGTCGCATCTGACTAATATCAGTGCGTTAAAGTTATGCTATTTGGCTTGTGATTCTTCAATTTCACTGTATTTGCTTCGCAGTTCTTTTTCTTTGCTTCTATTTACAATTTTATATCGCTTTTTATTGACAGATTTTTATTAGTGGAATCTGATTTCAGTAACTCTTTTTCACGTTTTTTTAGTGTAGGTATTCCTCTGATTTATAATTTCTTATAACAATGTCAATTGGAAGTATGGGTTTAAAGACATCGTAAAATAGACAAACTTCTTGAAAATATATTTTTTCTTTATTATTTGGACACATAACATTTGATATTTACTGCTGTTTAACTGGCCATCGACACAGTCTGAGGGTCATTCAGAGCATCGTTTCGAAAATATATGAATGCAAAATTTTCTTTAAAAATAAACCTTTATTAATGCATCCGACACTGCTTGACATATTTTAACGAAATTTTGCAGGATTTCATCGCTATCGATTATGTTTTTGAACCATATTTGATCAACATTGACTTGCGTACCAGCATAAAATTTAATGTTTATCAAAAAAAAATGTCTTTAGTTTGTTGGTTAATGGCAAAACATATGATAAAAAGCAAAACACATCATTTCGAAGCGAAGAAAATAAAAATCGCATTAATGCAGGTCTTAGAATCAACAGTTATTTTAATTTGAACTTTGAAATTTTTGGTAGATAGTCATTGTTGGATTTTACTTATACAAACTTATAACTCAACATTGGAGGGAGGAACTTACACAATAAAATCATTTGTTGTTCATAATTTCAAACTTTGAATGAAAATAACTGTTGCTGTGAGGTTTTGAAAGCGTGCATTAAAACGATTTTTATTTTTCCCTCGCAAATGATGCATAGAACCAAGAAACCCCAAGAAAGGTTTTTTACTTGAAATTGAACAAGCAATTAGCGGTTTCAATTAGGGTTTTCATTCATTCATTCTTTCCAAAATATTGAATGTCATGTACCTGCGCTACTCGTGGACCAAAAAATGTTTCATTCAATAGAAACATCAAGCGTATTTCCTTCATTCATCATATATTCATGCATTTTAACACATTAAAACTCCAAAACCTGCGTGTAAATTCTCCCAGATTATAAATAATATACTGTTTATTATACTTGTTTAATTTTGTATTGAAATTGGAAAAGTTATCTGAGGAAAATCGACGTAAACAAACGGCCAATGTTTATTCCCCACTTCACCATAAAATTATGGCTTTCCTGCCTGGAACTCCTTATGGTGCACATGTTACTTTCCCCATTCCAATAGAACTGCGCCACGCCTTTAAACTGCCGCTATGCAGAGTCGTAAAAAGCGCAGCTAAAATTTGCCCGTAACGTAAAAAAGCTCAATTTATACGACTCCCATTTTAAGGAGTACCGTAAAACATTTAATTTCAAATAAAATTATCGCACATTTCTTAAAAAAAATTTCCAAGAAAATATATTTTGCATTACTCCTTTGCGACTAACGTGCTTAAAGTTGTCACCCGATGTTTCGGCTAGAAGTGCAAAGGACAACATCAAGGGCTACCGCGCAAATACTGTTCTTTTAGGTACATTGCTTCTGGCCTTTACTATCTACTCTTCATGACCTGCAGCTAAGTTTGGGAATGCTGATCTCAAATAAACCGTTTTGCGCAAAACATCTATCACAATAACTTATGGGGCAATTCATTGGCTTAAAAGCATTCTCCGGTATGTAATATTTTCGATGGTACAATAAAACTACATAACGAACGGGCTCGTATTTTTTACGGACGTTCAGGCGATAAATGTAGGGGTTTATTGTAGCGCGGGTTTCATGCATTACAAATGAGCAAAAGTTACAAAAAAGTGCACTTTCTTAAATGGACCTATGAATCTTCTGATGCATATTGTACGCGCTACGTGACAGCGAGCGGTTATACGTTTGCCGAATATTCAAATGACAAAACGCGTCTTTAACTGCTTTAAAACTCACGAAACCGTTGAGACTCCAAACATTATATGTGCCATATATTAAATTGTATTCTCAAAGTTGAAGCACATCCGGCTTTTGTATAAATTATTTTGTGTAACATTTCAATTTGTCAGTTTTATATCGATAGTTCCAAAAAGCAACTAAAAATCTTGAATATGGCTTCATAAATCACAGATCACTAACTTGCTTAGTAAATACAAGAAATATGGAAAATATGGACAAAAGACGAACTCTTTTCAATTCAGATTTATTCTTCTTACCTTAACAATATCAGTAGCGGCGTAGTAATTCTCCGAAGGAATGACTCCATTGGGGGTTCCATTAGGCGCTTGGTAGTTTTGGACGTCATAAGTAGGAGGTCTCGACGTAGGAGGAGGAGGCGCAGCCAGGTTGTAGAAAGAAGGTGAGGTGAATTTCAGCTCTTCTTGAAAACTATTCACACTGGTAAAGTCTGCAAAACAAGTCTAGTGCTAATTTTGTTACGTTAAGTTTTTCAACTAAAAGAAACTAAAATATTTTTTTCAAAAATAGTTAACTTGAATGAACGCAATTTATTAATTTTGAAAATAACGTCCYTGGCTCAGTTACTTTCAATGCAATACAACCAACAACTTGTTACACAAGTACCTTGAAGAAGTCGGATMTAAGACYCATAAAGTTCTTCAWAAACATGATTTTTTTTTWAATATTGAKAAATTTTTAACAATTYGATGGATTTTATGAAACTCGMTGTGAATGTGTTTTTATGTAMGATTGATATTTKTGGAAATTAAGTTTTGGTYTTGGTACAAAAAYTAGCTTGCATGTTCCAGCAAATCACCATCTAATGAAAKATAAATTTCAWATTAAATATGAAAAAAATATTAAATATTAAATTACAATTGAGACAACTGCTTTTGATGYTCAAAGGAAAAGCATSGTCAAGATCGTCGTCAATAGYCAATTATCTAGAACTGAGAAAGCTGATTGGCGACTCTAAAAAAGCGTTGAAAAATAAGCGAAACAAGGCGAAATTATCAAAACAAGTACAAATTACGAGATAATATTGCAAAGCCAGGGACTTATTGCAGGCAACCCAATTAAACGTTCCATTTTAAAACGTATTTAGATCAGATGCTCGTATTCTCCATAAGTTCGTACAGGGTGGCAAAATGAAACAAAGCAAATTTTCTGGAAGTGCGCATTGAGCAAAAAACCCGTTTTTTGGAGTTTAACATCAAAGACACAAAAACACAGACCTCATACCTCTAAACGGCTTTTTATTTGAAATACTCGTTTTAGAAGAATCACATTAAGCTTGAAGTCCATTTAGCACATAAAAACGAAAAGATGGTGATAAAGCTTTTAAGAGCAAAGTAAGTTTCAGAGATTTACAGCAAAAAATGTTSMGWRWTTAAA